AAAGTAAATGCCCTACCTGCTGTACTATCACTCCAGCCCCCCAAATAGTTTTTGACCTAGAGGTCACAGATGGCTATGCTTAGGGCTTACTCCAGGCTAGCGCACTCAGGGGTCACTGCTTGCGGGCTTGAGGGACTTTTATGGTGTGCTGGGAATTGAAGCCACATCAGCTGCATGCAGAGCAAATGCCTTACCCACTGCATTATCACTCCAACTTCAAAGATAGCTTTCGAGAAAAATGTTTATTACTCTATATTTCAGTTAACCAAAGATAAGAGAGCTTATGAACTGAAACAGAAGGAGTTAACAAGTAAAATAGCACTGAGAGAATTGTAATAATCACTTATGTAGATAATATCTCAAAAATGCCTCACAATCTACTTTTAAATGTACAAAATGAATACTTGGTTGTCTGTAAACTGTGTACTACAATCTCAAATACCAAAATTTAGGCAGTACACTGCCTACATGGTGCATGCAAATATGGACTAAAACTAGTTTTACAATCTTTATGCTGTCAATTACATACCGACAGAATAAAAGCACCAATGAAGCTCAAAAAATAATTTGTTAAATTATTTGTGAAGGGGCTGGATCAATAGCACAGTGGGTAGGGCGTTGCCTTGCAGGCAGCCGACCTGGGTTCGATTCCCAGCATCCCATTTGCTCCCCTGAACACCACCAGGAGTAATTCCTGAGTGCATGTGCCAGCAGTAAACCCTGTGCATCGCTGGGTAAGACCCAAAAAGAAAAAAAAAAAAAGTTATATGTGAAAAAGCATTATGGTATTTAAGTTCCAATCCCCCTTTATCATGCATGTGAATAACTCAAACTCAGGAGGTCCCAGATCTGGTACCATTTCCCTCTGACATGGGATCTATACCTCAAAAGGTCCAACAGGCTGTGGCTGTCCACCTGCCTTTTTTTGACAGCACTCCCATAACCATCAGACCAGAGTGTGAGAATTTTTCCTATAGACCTGTTGACAGCACAGGTAGGGGCCATTAAAAAATAAAATAAAATAAAAAACTTATGTCCAATGCAATTGTTTAGAGAGGTATTTGAATGCAAATAGTTCACAGGGTGAAAAAAACAAAAATCTGGGAAAAACAAAGGGTTGAAGGTTAGAATCAAGCAGCTGTACTTCCCACTGTAACAAAGACATTCATTAGTTCACAAGGCACACCCCCAGAGTATTTTAGGTATGGTTATGTGAACATTTCCAGTCAAAGGAATGTGAGAATGTTATGTTGATCACTGCCAGACCCAGCCAATAGGAATGTACTACAGGTGGTACTCCTTGGCTTTCCGCCTTCCATCTCCAGGCAAAAAGCAGAGATATTTTACTAATTATTAAATACTGAAAGTCTACCCAAAGCTGCGTTCTTTACCATACATTATCTTATCCCAACATCTCAAAATTCTGTGCTAGCAAACCTAATTCACTGGAACCCAATCCTGAAAATTAGTTATTTCTGGTAGACCAACAGCTATGAAGATATGGCAAAAATCTTCAAAAGTTATTAGAGCTAACTACCTTTTTGTTAAGGGAATTGCAGGGTTATAATGATGAGGGACTTTCAGTTCAGTTTTTCCTGAAGCCTATCACACTTTTAGTCTTATAAACAAGGCCCAGAGCTGCTAAATTGCTTAAAGCTTTAATTTCTTTTTATTGGGGGGGGAGGGGGTCTATACCTGGCGATGCTCTAGGGTTACTCCTGACTTTGCACTCAGGAATTACTCCTGGCGATGCTCAGGGGACCATATGGGATGCTGGAGATTGGACCAGGGTCAGTTACATGCAAGGCAAGTGCCCTATCTGGTGCACTATCACTCCAGCCCCTTAAATGCTTTTCTTATGGGTTCCTATAATCAATGTTATGATGTAACAAATAAGTAAAATCTTATTAAACATGCTATGAAATTATGAAACTGACTGCAAAATTCACCTGCATTTAGAAGAAAATTAAAATTTAAAATTTCACTCTAGACTTTATATCTAGATAGCACAGGGATGTTCATTACCTTTGCTATTTTTCAGTTTTAAAAAAAATGCTCCCAAGGGCTCTTTTCATAGCAATCCAGAAGTCACTTGATATGTCCTTTTTTTCTCTCTGACAGCATATCCTACTATGCTTTCAAACACACAAGGTCTGTTTTATTTTTATATCTTTCATAGTAGGTTGAATAACATCTGAATATAAGTGATAGTTCCTAGAATTAATGAATGTTTCCTAATATGACCTAAGGAATTTTGTAATTAAAAATCTTGATATTAGGCCTGAGAGCTAATACAGGAGGTAAGGCATGCAACCAACTTTGACCCTGGTAAGATCCCAAGCACTGCATATGGTGCCCCAGCATCACCAGGGGTCACTCCTGAGCACAGATCCAGTGAAGTCCCTGAGCACTGCTGGGTGTGAATCTGCCCCAAAACCTTAGCACCCGGGCCAGAGATGAACAAGGTTAAAACATGAGCCATGCACAGCTGATCCTTGTTCAATCCCCTGCACCACATGGTTTCCCACAGCATGCCTTGTGAGACCAGGTCTCCCACACACACACACACACAAAAGAGAAATTTGATATGAAGAGATTACTGTTGCATTGTCTAAAGGAACCCTAAGCATCAACAACAAGACCTCAGAGAAAAGCAGAGGGAGATGTGACTATGGAGGGAATTCTAGAATGAGAGCAGAGATTGCAGTCAAGTTCTTTAAAGATGGAGGAAGGGGTCACCAGCTAAGAAATATTTGCATCCACTGGAAACCAAAACAAACAAGAAGTGGAGTTTATCCCTCTTCCTCACCAGAGCCACTGACATCTTTACTTTAGTGCTGTGAAACAGGTATCAGACTTCTGACTTCTAGAACTGCTGAATAAACTTGCACTAAATTTGAGGTAATTTGTTACTGCAGCCATAGAAAATGAATAAACTCAATATCTCAGCACTATTGAGTCCAGTTCAGAAGCAAAGAAACTGATTTTCACCTAAGTTTGTTTTATACTTAAAAAAAGTTTGTTTTCTATCAAAAAAGTGTATTTTTAAAAAATATGACAAAACATTTATTGTAAAGCATCTTAATAAGTTAAAGACAAAGAAAAATATCACTATATACAGTTCTCTTGGTAATTAGTAGACGTTAAAAAAAATAACCATGAGTTCAGTTTAAAACCTTACAATTTACAGGGCTAAGGGCTGGAATGTGTGCTGTGCATGTAGGAGCCCTGGGTTCAATCTCTGGGACCACCAGGTGTGGCCCCAAAATAGAAGCATATCTAGGTAGATAACTGAGCCACCACTGAATAACAATACCAGGGGAAAAGAAGAGAGCTCTGAAGAGCCATGAAGTGGACTCATCTGCTTTAGCTTTATGCTGAGCACACCAACCTTGTACAACACTTGCGTGCTAACAAGAATGCTGTCCCAAACTCTGGGTAAGCCAACGAACTAGGTCACCTTAGGTTTAAATCAAGGCAATCTGCGCTGAAAGTCACTGCAGTTAAAATCTGTGCATTAGGTAAGCATTTGAAAGGCAAACACAGTAAGTCAACATAAGTAATTTCTACTTTATGACTTTGACCCTCACAGCTGTAGGAAGCAGAGGGCTCTGGTATATTGATTCCAGTCACACACTGGTGGAGGGATGGGTATTTGATCATTGCATAATTGAAACCCAAGCACAAAAATTTGTAAGTCTACAACTGTACCTCATGCTGTCTCACTAATAAAAATTAAAAAATAAATAAAATATAAAAAAAAGAAGCTGCCTGTGGCTCCCGCCCGGACCTGAGTACTACTGAGTGGGATCCAGCACTGCAGAGGGCCACCCCACTCCCCTCCTCCCTATCCCCAGCAGTACAAAACAAAAAACCTGAGGGAGGCCAAGGGTGATTCAGCCAAAGACTAATAGCTCCTACTTGATCAGTCTCTACTAAATCATTTCACATTCATTTCACATAAACAACTAACTAGGTATGCAGGATTAACTCCTAAAATAACTTGGGGAGGGGGGTGGAAAGAAGGGCACAAGGCTAAGAGGTAACCTTCTGCAAGTATGGTCATTTTTAACACATATTTGTCGCAGAAGTTGGAGGAAACACATGGATGAGTAATCCAACACGTTTTGTTTTTGGGCTTTTTGGGTCACACTCCACTATGCACTCAGGAATCACTCCAGGCGGTGCTCAGGGACCAAGTGACAGGACGCCGGGAACCGAACCTTGGTCGGACAGCGTGCAAATCAAACGCCCTCCACGCTGTGCTATCGCTCCAGCGCCTCATCACGTTTCTTAGCTTTAACAGAAAGGTAAATGCCCTTCTCTTCATAGAGGGCTGCCTCAACTCAGAACACAAGGCAAGTGCCTAACACAGAAACTGCCCCGCATGTGATGCTAACGACCCCATTTGCAGCAACCTAGCTGGTGGCAAAGAATAAGGCGGGAGGGAAGAGGGGGAGGAGGCAAATTATTCTTTTCCCGGAAATGTGGCTAAAAGTGCTTCTCTCTTTTATTTTTTTTTCTTCGTTTCGGACCAAACCCGGCGGTGATCGACGGGGGAGAGCTTAATCCCTGGCTCTGTACTATTTAGGGATCACCCCCGGCAGGGCTCGGGGGACCATCTATGGTTCCGAGGATCGAACCCGGTAACGCCACGTGAAAGGCAAAGCGCCCTTCCCGCTGTGCTAACGCTCCGGCCCTGCGCCTCGCTTTAAAATCGATGCCCCTCAGAGAATGCTGGAGACCAAACACCGCAGGAGCACTCACAAGCAGTGACACCCACTTAACGCAGAATGGCTATGTATGGGGGCTCTCCGGCACCGGACACCCCATTCCCACTCCCACCACGTGGTTCCGTTCCCGAATCCTTCCTATTTCCCTTAGCGACTGTCGTGCTAGAGGTCCAGCGACTCCCCCACCCAGATTCCAGCAGCAAGGTGGCCAGCCCTGGAGATGGACGCCCAAACTGTATCCGCGCCTACAACTCTCCCAAAATGTACCTCTACTTAACGCGGGAAGAAAGCGAGCGAGCTGCAGGCCGACAGAAAACCGGAAGTTCGCCCTCCGCCTCTCTGATTGGGCAAAGGCGCGGAGAAACACGCAAAGGATTGGTCGGCAGCACGAAGGGCGGGGCGAGGAAATGTCCATTTCCCGTCGTCGTCCCCCCCCACCCCCCCCCCCCGGGGCAGGCTATCTGCGCCTGCGCACACCGAGTCCTATGGTTAACCGCAGCCCTGGCGGCACGTTACGTTCCGACGATCGCATTGGTTGCGATGGTTTCAGCCTCTTGGGTTCGTGACCACTATAGAGCAGAAGTAGAGCAGGTTCCTCCCCCTCCTGGGCAGGCAGCGTGGAAATGTGGCTAAAAGCGCTTCTCTCTTTCATTCTTTTTTCTTCGTTTCGGACCAAACCCGGCGGTGATCAAGGGGGAAGAGCTTAATCCTCCAATAGTAGGCAGCGTGGCTTCATTTCAGCCAATAGTAGGCAGCGTGGCTTCATTTCAGCGCTTTCTTCCACACTTGTTATTCCACTGAGCCGTCAGGTGGAGAAGTTACTAAAGGCTGGGAAGCTGCTGCTGTGAGTGAGACGTTAGTTAGGGTCCGTCACTGACATACTCAGAAAAATTCAGAACATCTGGTAGGACTTCAGTAATAGAGCCCGAGGAACACATCTTTCGCGCACTCTGCCACGGACTAAAAAAGTTAGCAATTTAAGGGTAGCTCCGCCTGCCTCTGGTTGCTCTGGAATTTGTTACTGAGATGGCTCAAGTCGTAATATAAGTTAAATGCTGCTGCTACCGAGTTCTTACTATTAACGCCCGCTGAACTTTACTGCGATTTTGATTTGTTCACCCTTGTGCTATTTTACCCTTTCATTCGTCAGCTTCTTAAATTTCTTAAAAGCCAAAGATCAAAGAAAACTGGGAAGATTATGTGAAAAGCAAATATTAGTGTTAGAGAATTTTAACTGTTGTTTGTGGCGTTCTAGATATTTGGACTAGGTGGATAGTAAAATAGTTCGTAAAAATGATGTTATGATGAAACTGTTTAGTTTTCACCTTAGTGTTTATCTTTCTGGGAAAGATCCCAGATTTATTATTTGTACATTAACTGTGATGGCATAGTTATCTATGCTACATAAATTGATATGACAGAGCAAATCTGTCAGCTTTCTTCGCAGAACAGCTGTAGTCAAGTGTGACCAAGATTCTGTTTTGAAACCCAGTTCAGTCTTTATGACATTATGTTGAACATAGAAGGCAGGCATTTAATTGGATTGTGAGCTTCTTTTTCTAAAGTGAGCCCAGTTAGTAATATTTTTTCTGGTTTTCTTTCTAGTAAAAGAAAAAGGTAACTCAAACAGCAAATGACATTTCATAAATGCAGGGTTTTTTCCCCCTATTTTAACAAAAATTTGTTTAGGGGGTTAAGACACTTGCCTTGCATGCCTTGGACCTTGGTTCCGGTCACAGTACAACTGAGTGTGACAAAAAAACCCCAAAAATTTAGTTTGTATAAGAAAAAAACATAGTTTGTGATGTAGAATTAGCTCTACACTTCCAAATTACAGGATAAAGCTAAGCAAAAACTATGGCTGATTATTTTTAATATCTTTTGTTTGTTTGGTTTGGGCCACACCAGCAGTGCTGAAGGGTTACTAACTGGCTCTGTGCTCAGGGATTACTTCTGGCAGTGCTCAGGGAACCATATGGGAATCCGGGATGGAGGCCGGGTCAGCTACATGCAAGACATGTACTATCTTTCTGGTCCCAAACTTTATGATTTTTGTGTCTTGATGTCAAGTTTTAGGTTGTTATTTACAAAAGATCCATGGAAGATGTAGTTTCTTCTTTTTATCAATTAATGAAGAGCCCAAATTGGGTGTAGTTACCACTGTTTCTCCTTTTGACCTTCTATATAATGTATTAAGTCAAATATGGATATGAAGATCACCTTGAGGGAAAAACACAAAACTACCCATTTTTATTATTTTAATTATAAAACTCTTTCCTCCCTCCCCCCCTTCTTCCCTTTCTCCCTTCCTCCCTTTCTTTCTTCCTCCCTTCCCCTTCAGACAAAGTATGGTCCCTAGCACTGAGCTACATCTCAGGCCCATTAATGGTATTTTCCTTTGCCCTCATATTTTAAATCAATGGCCCATTCAAGATATAAATGAAATTTTATATTACTAAGAGTAAAAAACCACTAAAAAGGACAGGTATCAAGACCATTGTCATTAGCAATGTACAACAGAGTGATAAGTCAATCAAACACATATTGCTGATTTATACTAACAATTCAAATGCTCACCAAATAGTCACTTTTAATTGATGTTTGGGCCACACCTTGTGATGCTCAAAGGACCGTGTGGTGCCAGGGATTGAACCTGGGCCTTTGCATGCAAAGCTTAGTGATCTATCTATCTCTCCAGTCCCAAAACATCCTTTTGGAAGCTCCCAAGATGTTCTGTTTAGGGGGAGTGAGGGGCAGTGCTCGGGAACTACTGCCAGCAGTTCTTAAGAGGCTCTGCAGTGCCAGAGAGCAGCATGGGCCTCCCGTTGCTCAGGGGCTCTGCACTCAGGAACCATTCCTGACGGTGCTCAGGGGACCATATGGGATGCTGGGGATTCAACCCGGGTCGGCCACATATAAGGCAAACACCCTATCTGCTGTGCTATTGCTCCAACCCCCCAAATGTTCCATTTTAAAGAGAAAAAAATGTTTTCTTTTGTTTTGGGTAATGCCAAGAATCAAGCCACATGTAACACATGTGTTCTACCACAGCTGTATCCCACTCCCCACCCCCCAAACTTGGTTATTTCATTTGTTGTGAATTTGAAAATAGAAATCAAAACCATCTACTGTCTTTTCAAATGTGAAGCTTGGAATCATTTCTGTACCCCATATTGGGAAATAGTTTAAGGCATGGCCTCAAAATGAAACAAATACAGGATGACTCTTGAGATGCAAGTGGAGAATTTCTCAACTCTTATGTGTATTTACTTTTTTGATAACAGCATTTTCTTTTTCTTTTTGTGTTAAAGTTCTCTACAAGCCTGTTGAGAGCTCAGCCAGGCGAGCACATCCTTATGTGGAGGCTGAGGTTCAATCCCCAGTATCACATGGCCCCCTGAGCACTGCCAGTTGGGATCCCAAAACTAAGGAACAAAGGGAGGGAGGGAGGGAAAAATCTATATGATTTAACAGAATAAAGTTTTCAAAATCTGGCATAAATAAATGGTTAAAAAAATGATATGGGGGCTGGGGTCATAGCACAGTGGGTAGGGTGTTTGCCTTGTATATGGCCAATCCGGGTTCTATTTCCAGCATCCCATATGGTCCCCCCAACACCACCAGGAGTCACTCCTGAGTGCAGAGCTAGGCGTAACCCCTGTGCATCACCAGGTGTGACCCAAAAAGAAAAAGAAATGATAGGATTTTTAAAATAGGGAGGTATTTTATATACATATATATATTATATTTCTTAAAAATGGTAAGACAAACTTTATTCAAGGGAAGCTACCTTGACTTTTTTCAATTTGGGAGGCCACTCAGTCATGGAGGGTGGGGTGAGATGGGGTATAGAAGTATAGAGGATAGAACCCCAACTTCTGCATGCAGAGCATGTGTTTGAGTCCTTTGAGTCAGCTGCACTGGCCAGAGGGTGGAATTTTATAATGGGGAAGCAAAAATGGGCTCAACTGAGCAACAGGAAAAGCGAGAGTTTATAGCCAAGGAACAGAGAACAGGCTTTAGAGTATGAAAAATGACTATTAGGAAACATCAAGATTGTAAAGGTACTTAGTGCTTGGTGGATCATGCAATGGTAGAGTTTGTACCTAGACGCCCTGTCTGTTGTAAAGCATGCACTCAGCCTGTTAAACTATCTCTCTGGTCCCCCCAAAATTGTATTTCTATGATTCCAGGGATTGAATCCAGGCACTCCAGTGGGTGCTTTGCTGCTGAACTATACCTACAGCTCAATAGGATTCTTCTTACTGAGAGTACATTGCTTAGTGTATAGTGAAGGCCAAGGATCTTCATTAGATATCTAGGGAGAGGGGGTTTTAGTTAAAATGATTTACCAAGATTCTTTCTAGAATTAGATCTTATATTGAAGGATACATAAATCCACTCAAAAAGACGATCTAAGAGCAAGACTGCTGAACGGGCTGAATGCATGTTTTGTACACAGAAGGACCAGATTTGAACCCTGACATTGCATATAGTCCCACAACCTCCACCAGGAATGACCAACCCCGAGCACCAAGCCAATAATAGCTTCTGAGCACTGCTGGGTGTGGTTCAATAAGCAGGGGTTTATAGCTCCCCACATTATACACACACTTTCACTGCTACTCATATACACAAATATTTGCTATTAAAATATTTTAGTTCCAGATTTTATATAATACTTGGAAATATTTGTATTTCCAAATTTTATATATTACTCAGAAATATATTGGGCTGGAAGGATAGCACAGTGGGTAGGGCATTTGCCTTGCACACGGCCAATCCGAGTTTGATTCCTCTGCCCCTCTCGAATAGCCCGGCAAGCTACTGAGAGTATCTAGCCCATACGGGAAAGCCTGGCATGCTCCCCGTGATGTATTCAATATGCCAAAAACAGTAACAACAAGTCTCACAATTTGTTGTGAGACGTTACTGGTGCCCACTCAAGCAAATTGATGAAAAACGGGAGGACAGTGCTACAGTGCTACTCAGAAATCACTTGGGAGTCATCAGGCAGTCTTTTGCAAGGAATTGACTTACACAGTTAACGAAGACTAGCTTTGAGCAAGTGCAAAATCTGTGACACAGCTTGTCAGGAGAAAAGGGATGGAACTCCCAAGGCATGAGTAAAAGTCACAGTTCATAGGCAGAATTTCTTCTGGGATCCTCAGATCATGTAGCTCTAAGGACCTTTCAACTGATTGAATCAAGTTCAACCATAACAGATAATGTAGGAAATCTTTTTTTAATTTTAATTAAAGCCCACTGATTGTGAACAATAATCATAACTGATTAAAATGTCTATA